CCGCCCTGATGACCTTAATCCTGATCTCCCCAAAGCCCCACCTTTCAACATTATAGTTGGATTAAGTCTTCACTTTCTTAATGCCATCACAGCCAAGTCGCACACAGGCATTTTGGGAACATCCATACCATAGCAGTTCAGAATTGGGGCCTGGGCCTCCCAGGTGGACCCAGTCTTGCCTCTCATAGTGGCTCTGGCTGCTTCTGGGCTGGGGACTGGGCACCAGTGGGCAGGGATGGAAGGGAGATTTTTCACTATATAGCTTTTTTTCTTTTCTTTCTAAGTTTTTTTGTTTGTTTGTGCCATAGGGCACCTGTGCTCCTTAGAAAGAGGCAGAGAGAGAGGGAAAGTGGGAAACCACCCCATGGGGGGATGGCCATGCTGCAATCTCTTCTCCTCCATTCTCCTGGGATTTTTGGGTATGCACTCACACACGCCTGTGTGATTTTCAAGCCACTGGGTCTGGGGATTGAACTACAGTCAACCATGTGTGAGTCTAGCTCCTTAACTACCATGCCACCTACTGGCCCTTCTAATTATTATTGTTTTAAAAATTTGGTATGGGGTGTGTGTACTCACCAGAGAGAGAGAAAACACATCCTAGAGGGGATGGCCACCCTACAATCCCTTCTCCTCCATTATCATCTTGGGACTTTGTGTGTTTCCCAAATTGCCAGGTCAGGGACTCAAACTGCATATCAGCCATGTGGGATCCAGCACCTTAACTGCCATGCCATCAGCTGGCCATGTACACCCTCTGTACCTTTTGGATTCTGAGTCACATAGATGTGTTACCTCTGAAAAACGTAAATTAAAAATGCAAAACAAAAATCTCTACTCCTCCATGGGTTCCTTTAGGGGATGAGCCATCTTCCAGGGACCCAGCACCTTGATTTGCTCTGCTTGGGGTGGGCTGCCTCTCAGCCAGCCCCTCGTGTCCCAAGGGGACTAACCTCAGGCAAGCTGGCTTCTCCTTGGTTGCTCGGGTGCATCTTTCTCTGTCCTACTGCTACTTTCATGGTCCCCACTAGCCCCAGGTCCCAGGCAGTTGTGAGCCTCCTACCATCTCTCCTTGGCCCTCACCTCCACTGCGATCCATCCCGCAATCCTGGCCTGAGCCAGGCAGCACCAGCTGCTCCCCGAGGCCTGCCTCCCTCCCCTTTGGCCCATCCTCTCCACACCTCAGCCCCAGTGAGTTTCTTCAAGTACAAATGGGATCATCTGCTGCAAGCGTCCTGCTAACAGTGCCGGTGCTCTGCTCAGACGGCCCGCAGAGCTCTTCTTTCCATTTCTGCACGTGACACCCCTGTCCGTATGCTTTCCAGGCTGACACCTGCAGCTCATCTCAAAATGACTGCCCTTGGGGGGCAGCAAGGGGTGTGGTGGTTGAGGCGCTGGACTCCCACATGGCCAGCTGCAGTTAGAGTCCTGGACCTGGTGGCTTGCTTTCTCATTTTCTCTCTCTCTGGTGAGCACACGTGCCCTATGCCTAATTAATAATAATAATACAAATTTTTAAAAATTACTGTCCTTGGCCTTGCGGCTGCTTTCCTCTAGGTGGCAATGTAACCAGCGACTGCTCTGTGGTCCCTGAACACCAGTGGGAGTGGTGGTGTAGGGGCACAGCTGCTGACCTCCTTGCCCCAGGCCAGGACTACTCTGAGGCCTTACATCCTGGGATGCTCCCTCTCTCGGCCTCACGCCCGAGCCATCCTCCCTGGATGAGATGGTATGTGGGCTTGGCTTTGCCCTTTCCCTTTCTGGCCTCCTGTGAGAGCATTTTGTAAGTCACTCAGGCTGCAATGGGTCCCTCAGTGGACTCCTGCTCACGATTCAAATCTCAGACATACACAATTTTGTTTTTAAGAATTATTTAATTTATTTATTCATTCATCTATTTTAATTTGACCAGAGAAAGACAGAGAGAGAGAGAGAGAGAGAGAGAGAGAAGGAAAGTAAGAAGGCAAGTCACCAAGTACGGGACTCGAACCATGGTCGAGCATGTGGGAGCGTCCAGCACTTTAACTACCATGCCACCTGCTGATCCTGACAACTTTACTTCTTTCTCATTGGAAGTCTAACCCACATCAAATACACATTTTTTTTTTTCTTTTAATTTGCCAGAGGGTGCTTGTGCTTGCAAGAGCCAAACAGACACAGAGAGGGGGAGAAGGAGAGGGAGAAAGTAACCCCCCAATGGGGGTGATCATGCTGTAATCTCTTTGCCTCCATTTCTACATTGTGTTTTCTTTCCTTTTTTGTTTTGTATTTGCTAGAGGGTGTGTGTGTGTGTGCTTGCCAGAGACAGACAGACAGCGAGAGAGAGAAAGCAACCCCCAAGAGGCACGGTCACACCACAATCCCTTCATTCCTACTTCAGTATTTTGGCATGCATGTGCATGAGCCTGGCATGTTTTTCCAGTTGCTGGGTCTGGGGCTCAAACTGTGCAGTTGACCATGTGGGATCCAGCTGCCTTAACGACTGTGCTGCTGGCTGGCCTGCCAAGTATATTCTGTAAGCCACCAGGTCTGGGATTCAAACTGTGAGGTCTACCATGTTAGATCTGGCTCCCTTAACCATCAGGGTGGCCATCTCCAAATCCATTTTTTTAAAGAGAGTTTTGCTATAGTGTGTGTGCACTTGCCAGAGAGACAGAGACGGAAAGTGAGAAATCACCCCTCAGGGGGATGGCCACACTGCAATCCCTTCTCTTCCATTCTCCTCTTAAGAATTTTGGCACGCACATGCGCCCTGCGTGAGTTTAAGCTGCCGAGTCTGGGATTCAAACCACAGTCGACTACGTGGGAGTCCAGTGATGCAACCATTATGTCATCTGCTGGTGCCAACCCAAATCCACATTTAAATCACACCAAATTTCTAACTGTTCTGTCACTTTTGTGTCTGAGTACCTGCTTTTTTTTTTTTTTTAAAACTTCCTCTTTATCCCTCCCTCCCCCACCTTCATTTTTTTTTGGCCAGAGGGTAAGTGTACTTACTAGAGAGAAACACAGAGAGAGAGGAGATATGAGGGGAGAGTACTCCCCAGTGGGGACTGGTCTTGGCACAGTTGCTTCTCCATTTACCCATTCTGTCAGGATACCAGGCACACGTGCACATGTGATGTGTTTTCTAAGCCACCAAGGCTGGGATTCCAAGTGCATGATAGACTACATGGGATCCGACTCTCTTAACCACCAGACCACAGGGGACGGCCCGCCTTTCCCCTTCTTTTTTTTTGGAGAGGTTTTTGCTATAGGGCGCATGCGCTCGCCAGACAGAGAGAAACAGAGAGACAGAAAGCAGGAAATCACGCCCCCCCGGGGGGGGGGGGGACCACACCACAATCCTTTCTTCTCCATTCTCCTCTTGGGATCTTGGGCACGCACGCACACATGCCCAGCGTGAGTTTAAGCCACCAGGTCCAGGACACGAACTGCGGTTGACTACTTGGGAGTCCAGTGACATAGCCATTACTCTAACTACTGCTCCCACCAGGGGGCGATTTCTTGTTTTCTGTCTCTGTCTTTCTGGTGAGTGCACATGCCCTACAGCAAAAATCTCTCGAGAAAAAAAAAATCACTCTCTTTCTCAATTTTCTCATGGTAACACGTGCTTCCTCCCGTATTCTCAGGGCTGCGAGTTTCTACTGAGTTTTACTATAGCACCCGCCTCTCCAAATTTAACTAGTCTTGCCTGGTGCCCAGGATGGTGCTGGAGGGCAAGAATGTGAATATTTTATGAATTAATATTGATTTTTAAAATGTCCTAAGGGTTTCAACTATCTGGAGTCTAGGATCCCGAATCCCTTCTCTCTAATCAAAACTGACTGTTGTTTCATTCCCTCAGAGCTGTACTGTGTTGCCCATGTTCTAAGCTTACTGAAGCCTTGTCAGAGGGAAGCGCTGTGCTGTAAAGAACAGTATTTCTTCTGCTTCTTGGGGTACCAGGACAGGTATCTAACTCCATGCCATGTGACCTCTTGGAGTCCCAGTTCACTTGCTTCCTGACATGGAAGGTCTTCCAAGGCTGGAATGAAAGTCTTCTGTGAGCTGAGGCCTGGTCTGTCTTGTTCTCTGCAATCTGCCAAAGCCAAGAATAATGCCTGGCTCAGAGCAGGCTGCTGGATTTGTTGGGAGAAGAAATCTGCAATTTTGAAGGCTACATATTGCTTAGTGCTTTACATATAGTATTTTAATTCCCAAAGTGGTGGAGTTCAGATTTGCGCACAGGGTTATGACTTTGAAGCTCGTTTTCTTCCCAGTTTCTTGTGACCTGTGGGAGACAATGCCTCCACTGGAGCATTTGTTCAGTGAAGGCTCTTAATGGCTGTGGAAGGTTAGCTGGGGGAGAAACCGAGACCCTTCTTCTTCTACATACCATACAGGCAACTGCCTCTGCCCCTTGCCAACCTCGGAGATAATAGGAATTTAGGGTGATGAATGGGAGGTGTGAGAAATGCAGAGGAAATATGACCACTACGGTCTTAATCAGGTGTCTGAGCAAATAATTTGGGTACGTAGCTCTGGAAGTCCTATAGCAGTCATGTACGGGCAAGCCAGCTCTTTCTTAAAAACAAAAAAGAAAAGGAAAAGAAGTACCTATTAGTAGCATTTGTGAATTTCTTTTCTTTTTTTTTAAAAATAATTATTTATTTATTATCGCCACTTTTCCATTTTGACCAGAGAGAATGCAAGCTGCCTAATCTGGGACTCGAACCACAGTTGGCCATTTGGGAGTCCAGTGCAGCAAGCCATTCAGGTAGGACCATCTGAAAAGGAGGATGAGAGTGTGCCCCTCACTTGGATTCAGGTAGTGCTTCTACCCAAAGTCCAGGAAATCATAAACACCAAGGATCCGCCCTTACTGAACTGGGCCTGGAGGAAATTGGCCTGATCCTAGGCAGAGCCCCTCCAAGACCTGCCCAAATTGGACATCTTCGAGTCTTTCTCCCAAGTACTTAACACTTCAGTAAGCACAGAATCAGCACTTAAAACCACACTGAAGAAGAAATGAAACCTTTATTAGCCCCCAGGGCATTTTATAATACTGAAGCAACAAGGAAAATGCAGGCACAAGGGAAATCAAGGCACAGAGAGTGACCTGAGGGCTCCCAGACTCACCGCTGACACAGCAGAGGCCTTCTCTTCATATCAAGGGTACAGTAGGCATTGCTCTGAGACAGGCCTAATCACCTCAGCCCATGTGAGAAGGCAGAGTGGCGACAGGCCTGAGGGTTAGAACTTGCTACTGTACAGGGTCATGGCCCACTTGGGCACACGCAGGAAGCCGGGTAAGTAGGAGGCCAGCCAGCCCAGGCTGGAAGAGTTCGAGAGAACGGAGCTCAGAGACAAATAATCTTGCACAGGGCGGCCTGAGGATAGGGGAGGAGGAGGATTAGATTCTCATTTCCTACTCCTCAGACACCCCAACTATTGCTGAAGAGACTGAAGGAGTAGCCGTGGCTGGCTGTGGTCCAGGGCTCTTACCATCCACATCCCGAAGCCCATAGCGTCGAGCAAGGTCACAGGACGGCAGCACCTTCCCGCTCAGGCTCAGGATATTGGGATCTGTGGGCAAACACAGACGGAGATAAGAAGCATGACAGTGGCCTGGAGGGACAAGGTTTGGGCCCAGTCGGACAGGACACTCTGACTCAGGCTCAGGAGTCCTGGAGGACTTTGCCTTTCTGTTCCTAAGAGGGCTCCTGGGCCTCTACCCTTGGTCATGCTTCTGAGGAGCCAGTTAAGGCTCCAAAACCTTAAACTGAAAATCCTGACCCGCAGGCCCTCAGAAAGCCAGAGAAAAGGGCTTATTCCTCAGTCATTTCCCACACCAGAGCCGGGCACTGGCTGCCGCTGCCCTGCAGACCCCCAGGCCTTTCCTTGTTACCAGCTGCCCCCAACCTCTTCACCTGTTGCCAAAGCCACCACACACTTGCCACTCATTTCCGTGGTTTCCGCAGAAGGGAAAACTGAACTGAACTGAAACACAAGAGCAGAGAAGTAAAGGATTAATTTCTAAGAGCTGCCCAAACCCCATCTCCCTATTTCAGCTTCTGTTCCAGGAGAAAGAGAGACCAAAAACCTTCTGTAAGATCTGCAGGCCACCAGGTCTTGGAAGGCAGCAGATCTACTCCTCCTTCAGCCAAGCGAGCCCTGTTCCCAGGCACCAGGACCCGCTGCCTCTCTAAGTGGAAGGATCTGGCAGTGCCAACTAGTGTCTGAACCTTCCAGGCCAGTCCAGTGCAGGGGTCACGTTCCCGGGCCTCAAAGCCAGTCAGCCTTTCCCTGATGACATATGTGACCGTGGACAAGTCTTGCGATCCCTGTGGGATCAGTTTTGCCACCTGTGAGTGCAGACAGCATCTCCCTTACAGGATCACAGGAAGTGACGTGTGCACAGTGCCCAGTAAGCATCCGATGAGTTGGAGCGTTACTCTTGTTTTGCCTTGCCACTGAGGATGGAGCAGCGAATTCCTGCATCCTCTGCTTCCCTTGCTCTTTGCCCACCTGCTTAAACAGGGGATCCTGAGAGGCCTCCTCCTTTGCCATATGGTCCTTGAGCAGTTCTGTCTGTACCAACCCTGGCCACAGGGACACGTAGCTGACTCCGTGACGCCGCAGCTCTTGAGCACAGTCAGCAGCCAGCCTGTCGCACTGTGGAGGGATGAAAAGCAGGGCAAGAGCCAGGAGACTGGGCCATGTTGTTCTGCTCCCTTCCCACCCCCTTGTCCCAGCTTCTCCTGGGATTCCCCAACCCTCTACCTTTCCCAGGAATCCTGAGGTCTCAGGGGCCCACCTTCCCCACTCTGATGACTACTCCAGCCAAATGAGGCGAGCCCAGGCAGAGGACTACTCATGGGTGACTCAGAGGGAGGTGAGGGCCAGCCAGCTTCACCCACGTGATGACTAGGGACTACACCCCTGAGTTATTGTACAATCAGTGTCCTATACCTCCCCAACCTCTATACCCCTGGATCCTCACCGCAGCTTTGCCCACACCATAGGCAACGTTGAACATATACTGCAGGCCCCCAACAGAGGAGATCACCACGATGAGCCCCCGGCCTGCTGGTACCATCAGCCGTGCTCCATACACCGAGCATAAGTAGTGGCCTCTAGAAGGTGGGGCAGGGAAGGAGAAAGAATACACCGTGTTAGCGCTGGCCTGGGTGCTGCAGCCTCTGGCCCTCCCTCTACCCTCCGGTGCTAGGGGAGAGCTGCATAGGGGTGCCACAGGCCTGGAGAACTAGTGGCTTAGGGCCACTCTGAGAGAAAAGCTGACAAAATTAACCACTGACAGATGTGAAACGGTCATTTTTAGAAGATGTAATGGAAGAAAAGAGCTGTCACAATAGCAATTACAAATGAAAACGTTCAGGGGAAAATTAAAAAAAATGTACAGGCTATATACATGGAACAACTATAGAAATAAAAGAATAACTGCAGACAAAATTGTTCAAAGATAACAAATGACATGCAAGGTGTCAATTCTACATAAATTAATTCATAGACTCAATCAATTTGAGTTGTTTCAATAAGGTATTTTGGAGAAATTGACAAAATAAAGCTTAATGAAAACAATAAACATGTGAGAATAGGCAGGAAAATTCTGAAAAAACAAAACAAAACAAAACAAAACAGAACAGTAATGTCTTATGGGTAGGGGGATTTGCTTCCTCCAACCTCACCATCAACATATTAAAATGTATAACAAGGGGCTAGCAGGTAGCATAGTGGTTACGGCACTGGACTCCTATGTGGCCAACCACAGTTCAAGTCCTGGACCTGGTGGCTTAAAATCCACACAGGGCGCATGTGGCATGTGCCCCAAATCCCGAGAGGAGAATGAAGAAGGGACTATGGCATTCACATTGCCTTGGGGGTGATTTCTTGCGTGCACGCTCTCTCTCTCTCTCTCTCTCTGTCTCTCTGGCAAATGCACATACCCTAGCAAAAATCTCTCTCTTAAAAAAAAAAAAATACAATGACACACTAGTTAAAAGGTTGCAGGACCGGTATCATAGCAGCCATTTAAATCAATGAAACAAGATGGTCAGTAATTAGATTCAAGTGTGAGAATACAACCTATTATAAAGGGAAATTTGTGGGTCAATGAGGAGCTATAGATCATTTAGTAAATGGACTTGGGACAACTGATCAGTTATTTATATTGTGGAGAACAGGTGTTTTTGTTTTGTTTTTGTTTCTTAAAGAATTATTTATTCATTTATTTAAATTTGACCAGAGAGAGACGCAGAGAGAGAAAGGGAAAGTGAGAAAGCAAGCTGACAGGTCCGGGACTTGAACCATGTGGGAGTGTCCAACCCTTTAACCATGGCATGGACATCATTGCTTTTTTGCTTTTTTTAGAGAGAGATTTTTTTGCTATAGAGCACATGCGCTCACCAGAGAGACAGAGAGAGACAGCAATAAATCATACCCCGGGGAGCTGGCCACACTGCAATCTTTTCTTCTCTATTCTCTCAGGATTTGGGGCATGCATGCACACGTGCTCAGCATGTTTCAAACCACCAGTTCCGGGACTTGAAACTGTGGTTGGCCAGGTGGGAGTACAACACCTTAACCACTATGCCACCTACTGTTCCCAAGAACAGGCTCTTTATCTCAATCATTTCAAAATTAACTCCAAGAGGATCAATGATTTAAATGTTAGAAGTTAAAGCATAAGTACTAAAAGAAAACTTGATCAACTATGTTTATCAACTTGAGGTGGGGAAGGCTTTTTTTAAAAGACTTATTTATCTTATTTATTATTATTATTATTGTGTTTTATTTTGCTTTTTAAATTTGACCTCAGAGGGAGGGAACATGAGAAAGCACACCACCAGGTCCAGGACTCAAACCGTGGTCCTGCTGGCCTGGAGAAGGCTTTTCTTAATATTGCAATAAAATAGAAACTATAAAAGACAGATTTGACTTCTTTTTTTTTTTTTTGAGGGGTTTTCGCTATAGGGTGCGTGCGCTCGTCAGACAGACAGAGAGAGAGAGACAGAGAGACAGAAAGCGAGAAATCACCCCCCAGGGGGGATGGTCACGCCACAATCCCTTCTCCTCCATTCTCCTCTCGGGATCTTGGGCACGCACGCACACGTGCCCGGCATGAGTTCTAAGCCACCGGGTCCAGGACGCGAACTGCGGTCGACTACGTGGGAATCCAGTGACATAGCCATTACGCTAACTGCTGGTTCCCAGATTTGACTTCTTAAAAGACAAAAGATATACACAAATACATCCATGCATATATATTTATGTATATATAGAGAGTAGGGATAGCACTGTGCAAAAAATAATTCATAAACTGAAAAACATGAGTAAAACAGATGCCGAAGGCACCTGTTCCACAAAGACTTTTTATAAATCAGTATGAAGAAAAGAACTTCATACAGAAATAGCGATTCACGAAAGACAAAGAGCTAATGAGCAGATGGAAAAAGGTTTAACCTCACAAATGGAGAAATATGAATTAAAACCATCTTTAGATATCTTTGGTCTATCAGAGTGGAAAAGCTTATTTGATTGAGTGGCTTCATGTTGCCTAGTATGACTGAGGACATAGGGAAACAGATATTTACCCTCATTATCTAGAGACTAAATGTTGGTAGGGTCTTTTTGGAGGACAACTTAATAACGTTTATTATATCTTTAGGAAGTACATATTCTTTGACCCAAGAAATAAGGGGTTAGTTAAATCAATTACTGACCTCCTCCCAGTGGGATATTTTGTAGATTTTAAAAAGAATGACAAATACTTATATGAAACATCTCAAAGAATATACGCCAGGCAAGTAATGGTAGCTATATGTCAGGTGAGAAAGGAAGAGATAAGCCTATACTAGCTTCGCATATTTTCTCATCATTTCTTTCAATAATACACACATACTTGGTAATTGGAAAAACATTTCTTCTGCATAGGGAATAGTTAGGACCCTCCAAATGAAAAAAACCAAGAGTAATAGTTTCAAAAGAAAAGGCCAGGCCGAGGAAATGCCCTGGAAAGCAGTGAATGTGTTATACATGGGGATGGGGGTTGTCTGAGGAGAAGCTGGTGGCTCACAAAGTGGACTTTACCCCGGAGAATTCATCGGGGCCCAGGGTCTAGGGCTTGGGCCTCTGTCTCAGGCTCAAAATTCTGAGCAAGAGATGAGGGTATGAAAGGCACCTGTCTTCAGAGGGCCAGGAACATGCACACCGGCCCATTTCCAGTTCTTTGGGTTTCCGTCCTTGGCTTTGAGCTGATCACCCCCTCTGTCCTCACAGTCATTCTTCCACTTAGAAATCACAATTGCATTCTAATTCTGCTTCTTTGGGGTGGTCACCAGAGTGCCAAAATTGGTGCAGTGAGTGTTCTTAGCTGCGACAGCCACTGACTGGCAGAGAATCTCGTGGTTACTCTCGCAGGTGACTGATCGTATTCACCAAGTGCAGTTCGATGATCTGAGAGGGTAACATTAATCCAACAGTAACCAACAGCAACGTACCGGGTGCATATTGTGCTGAGCAAATATTTTTCTTTCTTTCTCAGTTGCCAGAAGACATGTGTGCTCACCAGAGAGATAGAGAGACAGAGATAGGAAGGGAAACTATATCGGGCACACATGCTCACATGTCTGGCATATTCTTTAGGCTGCTGAGTCTGAGATTCAAACCACATGGCTGGCCATGTGGGATCTGGCTCCCTTAACTACCAAGCCACAAAATGGCTCAAACAAATTATCTTTAAAATTTTATTTACTTTTCCTTACCAGGAGTATATGTGCTCATTAGTGAGAGAGAGAGGGGAGAGAGAGAATTCTCCAATGGGGTGTAGTCACACCATAATTTTTCTTCCATTTCTCTAACCCATTAGAATTGTGGCACTCATGCACACATGCCTGAAATTTTCTAAGCCACCAGGGCTAGGATTTGGACTGTAGTTAGCCATGTGAGGTCCGGCTCCCTATGCACAGTGCCTAACTGCTATGTTATGGGGGCAGTCCCATGCTGAGCAAATTCTCATCCTGTGCGTCTTAGTCCTGTGCCAGATACATGTGTGACCCTAGCCTCCTAACTCTGACTTGGGAGTCCCTTTCCCTGTAGATCTGTAATGAGAATATGGAGGCTAAGAAGGCTGGTACACACTTTCTTATTAATGTTTTCTTGACCTAAAATCAAATGACTTCTTCCTCTAATCATTTTTTAAAATACAAATCTTGGGGACGAGCAGATGGTATAATGGCTATGTCACCGGACTCCCATATAGTCAACCCCAGTTCGAGTCTCAAACCAAGTGGCTTAAAACTCGCTGGGTGTGTGTGCATGTGTGCTCAAAATCCCAAGAAGATAATGGAGGAGAAGGATTGTGGTGTGGCCATCCCTCCTGGGGAGTGATTCTTACTTCTGTGTCTCTCTCTCTGTCTGTCCTGTGAGTACATGTGCCGTATAGTGAAAATATCTTTAAAAAAAAAAAAAAAAGAAAGAAAGAAAATATAGACCTTGGGTCATATTCATTCCTGAGAGGAGAGGGCTCCTTTTTGGGTCTTGCATTTGGATGGGCAGAGAGTGAGGCAGGAGAGAGGCCAAGGGCCTGTAGAAATGAAAATGACGAGAAACGAGGAAAAGCTGACATTCCCAGGTAGATTTCCACGGATGGAACTTCTCCAGAAACAGGATGAATTAGAGAGAAGGGAGAAGAAAGATGGAAGAGGCCAGAGGGTAAAGGAGAAGGCATATGGAGAAAGGGCTGGCCCTCAGGTTGCTGAGTGAGGGGAGCCTGAGTCTTTGTAGTGGGCAAGGAGAACACCCACCTGAGTCCCACATTGTTGATATCATCCCATATGGAGGCAGGAGTTTCCCAGAACTTCTTACTCTGGGTGTTCAGGAGTGCCTGAAAGGCAGACAAAGGGTGAGTGACTAAATGATCTGACAGCAGAAAGAAGTGAGGAAACGAGCAATGGAAGGACAAGGGATGGGAATGAGGACCTAAGAGTCAGACGGGGAGGGCAGGAGTGTAGCTGAGATCAAAGTTCAAGGCATACTTGGACGCCAGCATAGGCATTGTTGACCAGCACATCCAGACGCCCCTGTTGTTCCTGATCAACTTGCTCAAACAGTCTTCTCACTTCACTCTCTTGGCTCGAATCGCACACCACAGGCACACATCTGCCCCCAAGGGATTGTGCCTGGAAAGGAACAGGGATATGAATTCACAGTCACAGACCTAGGAACTGAGAAGGCAATCCCAGGAATCAAGACAGCTGCTGAGATAATACTGCCCTCTGCTGTCTGTTTGAAGAATTTTGGGAAAGATAGGACATTTGACCCCAGAGAGGAAGGATTGGAATCTTAGGTTTAAAATCTACCGGCATTGACTGATGGAAGGCATTGTGCTCTGTAAATCAAGAGTAGGAGACAAATAAGGCATGCAGCCTACTTGTGGAATAAGTAACTATTTCCTTGACTTCGGTCTCTTATTATTTAAAAAAATTTTTTTTATTGCCACAGGGTTTGTGTACTTGCCAAAGACAGTCCTGAGAAAATATCTTCCATTGGGTCATGCCACACACCTCCATTTTTCCATCCTGCCTGGATTTTGGGCATGCGCACACACATGCCCGGTGTGTTTATCAAGCCGCTGGCGTTGGAACTTGAACCAGTTGGTCAAGCTCTTAACAACTAGGCCATAGGGCTGGCCCTGGACTTCATCTTTTAAGAGATTATATTTTATCAATCTTGGTAACCCTAATGCTTTGCCTAGTCCTAACAAATCATAGATAATTTTTTTCTTTTTTTTTTCTTTTTGGAGAGGTTTTTGCTATAGGGTGCGTGCGCTCGCCAGACAGAGAGAGACAGAGAGATAGAAAGCGAGAAATCACCCCCCAGGGGGGATGGCCATGCCGCAATTCCTTCTCCTCCATTCTCCTCTCGGGATCTTGGGCACGCACGCACATGTGCCCGGCGTGAGTTTAAGCCACCGGGTCTGGGACGTGAACCGCGGTCGACTACGTGGGAATCCAGGCAGAAAGAAGTGAGGAAACGAGCAATGGAAGGACAAGGGATGGGAATGAGGACCTAAGAGTCAGACGGGGAGGGCAGGAGTGTAGCTGAGATCAAAGTTCAAGGCATACTTGGACGCCAGCATAGGCATTGTTGACCAGCACATCCAGACGCCCCTGTTGTTCCTGATCAACTTGCTCAAACAGTCTTCTCACTTCACTCTCTTGGCTCGAATCGCACACCACAGGCACACATCTGCCCCCAAGGGATTGTGCCTGGAAAGGAACAGGGATATGAATTCACAGTCACAGACCTAGGAACTGAGAAGGCAATCCCAGGAATCAAGACAGCTGCTGAGATAATACTGCCCTCTGCTGTCTGTTTGAAGAATTTTGGGAAAGATAGGACATTTGACCCCAGAGAGGAAGGATTGGAATCTTAGGTTTAAAATCTACCGGCATTGACTGATGGAAGGCATTGTGCTCTGTAAATCAAGAGTAGGAGACAAATAAGGCATGCAGCCTACTTGTGGAATAAGTAACTATTTCCTTGACTTCGGTCTCTTATTATTTAAAAAAATTTTTTTTATTGCCACAGGGTTTGTGTACTTGCCAAAGACAGTCCTGAGAAAATATCTTCCATTGGGTCATGCCACACACCTCCTTTTTTCCACCCTGCCTGGATTTTGGGCATGCGCACACACATGCCCGGTGTGTTTATCAAGCCGCTGGAGTTGGAACTTGAACCAGTTGGTCAAGCTCTTAACAACTAGGCCATAGGGCTGGCCCTGGACTTCATCTTTTAAGAGATTATATTTTATCAATCTTGGTAACCCTAATGCTTTGCCTAGTCCTAACAAATCATAGATAATTTTTTTCTTTTTTTTTTCTTTTTGGAGAGGTTTTTGCTATAGGGTGCGTGCGCTCGCCAGACAGAGAGAGACAGAGAGATAGAAAGCGAGAAATCACCCCCCAGGGGGGATGGCCATGCCGCAATTCCTTCTCCTCCATTCTCCTCTCGGGATCTTGGGCACGCACGCACATGTGCCCGGCGTGAGTTTAAGCCACCGGGTCTGGGACGTGAACCGCGGTCGACTACGTGGGAATCCAGCGACATAGCCATTACGCTAACTGCTGGTCCCAACAAATCATAGATAGGCAAATATTTATTTAACTGAATTGCAGTAGAGAAATCTACTGATTTATTGTACTTTATTGTACAGTTCAATATAGTCATGCCTAAAATAGAGGAATACATAGGTCCACAACACTTTAGTTGCAATTCCAAAATTTCTGAAGCTGTCAAACAGAAAGCATTTTTATAAAACTTACCTGGTGGCAAAATGTGACCTTACCTGAAGTTATCTGTGGGGTTTGTTTATTCTGCTGAGGAATACTATGGAGTTAGGTAAGGGATTCAGAGAAGGAGTGGTTAACCCAAAGGGTCGACACTTACCTCCCGAGCAGTGGTCTGCAGGGTGTCTAGATGGCGGCCGGTTATGTAAACCGTGGCACCTGCTTGGCAGAGCTGCAAGGCGATGCCACGGCCAATTCCCCTGGAGGCCCCAGTCACCACACATACTTGGCCCTTCATGCGAGCTGCCATGACTCACAAGCAAGGGCGACAATCTGTGGAAGCCAAGACTTGCTCTGAGCGAAGCCTGTGGATTGTGTGTGGAGGGGGGACCGCGCTAAGGGAAGAGGGGTAGCCAAAATCCGGATGCAGTGAGGGGAGAGAAGTTTCGGAGGGGACAATTGAGTGGGGGGTCCCAGGGCAAGGCTACCGTCCTTTTGGGAGACCCAGAACATGAACAGGCTAAGTGGAGCTGTCCACTTACTGCGCCCCTCTGAATGAGGCTAACTGGGGGAGGAATCTGGCGCGCAGCCTTTCAGAGCGCGTCCACGCAGGGTTCTGGGCTGCCTGGGTCCCTGACCACTGATGAGGCTCAGACTTGCAAAGCAGGGGTGCGGCTTCCACGTGGAGATGAGAGCGAAGCCCGGGGACGCCGAGCTCTATGTGGGGCGAGCTCAGGGACCTTACCTGCTACCTGCGCGATGCCTCTGGGTTCCCGACGCCGCCGAACTCGCCACACTCAGGACTTGATTCTGGCCGCGCGGGCGGAGCGAGGGTCAGAGTCCCGGGCTGGGTAAAGTCTGGCTGCTGGCGGGGGTTGAGAGGGCGACGTGTAGGCGCGGCTCAAAAGTCGCAACGCAGGGTGAGGGTCGAGGGTGGGTCAGGCACCGGCGCGACAGTCCTGCGCCGGGATCCGACTCGCGGACGGAGGCGGGGCGCCGCGAGGGACACAGCCACCCCGCCCGGCTCTGGGCCGTCGCGCAGCTGTGACGCAATAGCCTGCGCCAGGAGCGCGCCGGCGTTTCTAAGTTCGGGCGGGCGGGCGGCGTGGGGGTCCCGCGGCTACGGAATCCTGCGCGGACCGAGCGCTCCACATTCCTGGGGCTGGGCCCGGGGTCCGGGCGCGCCCCTCCAGGCCGTGAGCAGCCATCCAGGCAGCCTCGGGACGGGTTCTCAAAGCCGACTTTGGGTGTGCACCCCCAGCTGAGCCCCGAAGCGCTGGGATATTTCCGCCGGGCGCTGTCAGCGCTGAAAGAGGCTCCCGAGACTGGGGAAGAACGAGGTAGGGACAGCTTCTGGGTGGGACCTAGAACATGAAATCCACCACAGGCAAGGAAACTTTTCGAGGTTCCCAGGCATGGGGGCTTGGTTTCATCTCCCATGTCTTCTTCATTGCGGCACCCTCCCCCGCCCTCCTTTTCTTGGCGAAGTGATGGAACATAACCTCTTTCTCTCTCTCTCTCTCTTTTTTTTGGAGAGTTTTTTTCTACAGGGCGCGTGCGCTCGCCAGACAGAGAGAGACAGAGAGATAGAAAGCGAGAAATCACCCCCCAGGGGGATGGTCACTCCGAAATCCCTTCTCCTCTATTCTCCTCTCGGGATCTTGGGCACCCGCGCAAACTCGCCCGGCATGAGTTTTAGCTACCGGTCCGCGACGAGAATCGCGGTCGACTATATGGGAGTCCAGCGACATAGCCATTACGCTAACTGCTGGTCCCAACCTCATTCTCTTTTCAATCTTTTTGTTTTTTGTTAAACACTAAAAAGTTACTAAAGGGCATGTGGGTTCGCTGGAGTGAACCCCAGGTATGGATTGGTCATGCCCAGTCTTTTTTCCTTCATTTCTCCACATCGTGAGAAGTGGGGACTTGGGGGCAGACACACTCCCAGCGTGTTTAAAGCCACTGGGACCAGAATTCAAACCTCTGTTGGCAGTGTGGGATCTGGCTCGCAGTGCACAGCGTTTAACTGGCCCTGCCCCTGTTCTCAGTCTTTGAAAAATTTTAATACATCTTTCCTTTTCTTTCTAGAGTTGATGGTGCAAAATATTTTGAAGGAAGTGGAGGCTCAAGCATTAGGGTTGGCCATGGACAGGACTGGCAGTGAGATGCTGCAGGAACTGTTGGGGTTCAGTCCCTTGAAACCGTTGTGTCGAGTCTGGGCTGCTCTGCGCTCTAACTTGCGCTCTGTGGCCTGTCATCGGTGCGGGGTCCATGTATTGCAAAGTGCTCTGCTGCAGCTGCCTCGATTACTGGGGAGTCCGGTGGAGGAGGAAGAAGAGGAGGAGGAGGAGGAGGCTGGGGAGGATGGTTCCTTACAGACCCTGGAGGAGCTAGTTCTGGGACTAGCCACTGAAGTGTGTGAAGATTTTCTTTTGTACTGTGGAGACACACATGGCAGCTTTGTGGTTAGAACTCTGCTGCAGGTGTTAGGAGGGACTCTGCTGGAGTCTGAGAGAGCCAGGCCCCGTGGCTCCCAATCATCTGGTAAGTATTATATATGGGAAATTGGCCTAGTTGGCAGGAGAATTTAGGAAGTTCAGAAGGAGAGAGTAACCAGAACAGTGAGTCTTCATGGGGGAATCTGACCTTGAAGAAATAGCAGAGAAATAAGAATAGGCAAAAGACTAGTTAGTGTGTCTAGAGGCCCAGAGATATAGATACATTGACTGTTTAGGAAAGAGCTATTAGAATGGAGGCAGGTGTGGGGTCAGCAGGAGATGGCAGTGGTTAAGGTGCTGGATTCACACATGATCCACTGTGGTTCAAGTCCCAGACCCAGCAGCCTGAAACTTAACGCCAGGCATGTATGCATGTGTGCCCAGAATCCTAAGAGGAGAAGGGATTGTGGTGTGGCCATCCCCCTAAGGGGTGATTTCTAGCTTTCTGTCCCAATGGGTGATTTCTAACTTTCTGTCTCTCTGGTGAGCACATGCACCCTATACAAAAATCTCTTTATTTTTTTGAGAGATTTTTTGCTATAGGGTGCATGTGCTTGCCAGAAAGACAGAGAGAAACAGCGATAAAGAAAGTGAGAAATCACCCCCCTGGGGGGATGGCCATGCTGAAATTCCTTCTTCATTCTCTTTTCGGGATCTTGGGCATACATGCACACACGCCCGGCATGAGTTTAAGCCACCGGATCTGGGACTCAAACCACAGTTGACTACATTGGAGTCCAGCGACATAGCAATTACACCAACTGCTGGTCCCCCAAAAATCTCTTAAAAAAAAAAAAGGAATGGAGGCAGGTGGAGGAAATAGGTCATGTAGAGTAGAGGATTTAGAACTTTTTTTTTTAAACCATACCTCGCATTTTGGGGTTGTTTATTTTTGTTTTTGTTTCATTTTTTATTTTGATGTAGGACACATACACTCACCAGAGAGAGATACAAAAAAAAAAGAGGAAAGTAAGAAATCATTCCCAAGAGGGGGATAGCCATACCACAGTCCCTTCTCCACC